GTATTTTTTTTTCTTCCCTTTCTTAGAAACAGGAAGTTGTGTTTGGCTGAGGACAAACGCTTCAGCGAGCCTGGGACTTAACACGATATTTGGAGTGAGGGATGGTGAGGTCCGAGAAGGCTTCTTCACTCTCTCCCTTCCTGGGGCAGTGGCGTCTTCCAGGGGTAGGCCGGGCAGCTCACGGGGTGGAAGACTAGCCAGAACTTTCCTATCTCTCATCGCTGAGCCCAACCCAAGGCCCGAGGGAAAGTATGTTCTCAAAGAGACAGGTGTCCTAGAAGCCTCCTGTATTTCTGTCTCCTTCCACTGAAATTATTACGCAGTAGGTGCTTGTACAAAGTGTCTCATCTTTCTCTTCCCAGTATTGAGCTGTGTCTGTGAGGAGCCCCTCTTTGCCTAGTTTTTGGGCAGTGCAGGTTGGCTGTCACTCAGTTTTAAGCATGGAAGGCCAACTACCTCTCAGATGGAGAATCAGAGCCGCTCCACATCTGAAGAAGGGTGGACCGAGCTGTAAGGGGTGCACCTGTTTCCACAAGTCCGGTCAGGCTGTTGGGAAGTTTTAGCCTGGGAAGCAGACAGGTGCCTGGAAGGGCCGACGTGGTGCTGGCGAGTCCGAGAGAGCTTGGGGTCATAGCCCAGTCGCTCTGCTCACTCGGCATCCCAACATTTAGTGCCCCCCAGTGTGTTCTTTTGTTCTGTTTAGAATTTTTTCTTTCCTTTTTTTTTTTTATCCTCACCCGAGGACATTTTCCCATTTTTTGTACAGATAGAGTGGGAGGGGGAGAGAGAGAGAGAGAAACATCGACGTGAAGGGACACATCGAGTGGCTGCCACCCGCACGACCAACCAGGGCTGGGGACAAACTGCAACCGAAGTACGTGCCCTTAGCGGGAACCGAACCCGGGTCTCTCCAGACCGCAGGCCGACGCTCTAACCGCTGAGCCAAACTGGCCAGGGCTGTTTAGAATTTTTTCAAATGTCAGATCGATATGACCGCAATATGTCACTTAAGTGATTACGCAGATTGAACCATCAGAAATGTCAGTGGGGGTGGTGACATCATTCTCTTTCACATCCCACATGCACTGTCCTGAGGCTGCCCGCTCAGCCAGGGGACCCCGGAAACGTGCTGGGCGGGAGACAGCTTTCTCATCAAGACAGGCGCTCCTTGGCCAAGGGCCACCAAAGGTGACCAAGTCTGCTTATTTCTCAAGGGCAGGGTGCTCCTGTCTTCTGCCCTCCATCTGAGTACCCACGGGCAGTGCCTGCTCAGGGTCTTGGGGTGGCTTATTGTGTAACTGATGGCGGAGCTGGGGTGGGGAATTCTGGTGGGAATATACTTGTCTTCACTTCGGGGGTGTCCTGCCCCTCTGCACAGAGCCGAGCAGGGCTGGAGGACAGGTGTCAGCGAACCTTACCTAGAACGCTGCCTTCCCCGTCCTCCCGAGCCCACCCCGCTCCTGCTTTATCTTGGCCATGTGTTCAGTAATTTCGCTTCCTCTCACCAGGGAGGCAACAGGAAGTAATAAGGCTGTGGCAGCAGAAATCTGGACACTCAGGGATAATACTGCATCTGATTCTCTTCAGTAAATTCCACATTTCTGCTTACTGTCTAAGACAACCCATTCCGAGTTCCCAAACAGCGAAGGGGGCGCCGCAGCTTCCCGTGGGGCTGGCGGTGAGGCCAGGCGCGTGGAGCGGAGATAACTGTGTGCTCACGACTCTCTTCCTCCGCCGGCAGACTCGGACCCTGGGAGCCTGGGCTGTGGAACCCCGGCCCTCGCCGCAGCAGCGCCCCCTCCACACACGCCGGGGTGCCGTGCGACAGAGCCGCTCTCTTTATTTTCCCTGGACCACAGTTGAAAATATCAAGACAAAGCAAAAGCCAACATATTCTTGAGACCTTTCCTTTCCTATTGTTCTTGTCATATTTTTTTGGACTTTTTTTTTTTTTTGCAGAAGAGAAGCCTGGAGGAAAGGAGAGGGCTCCAGAGCAAAGGAGAAGCACTCGAGTGGGCGCGAGGAAGGAGGAACAGCCCACTTGGTTACAAAGCCCAAACGCGAAGGATCTAGAATCTAGTGCACATCATCGGAGCGCAGGACCTAGAGCTGGTGGGAAGATGGGCCCAGCAGCCCTGGAAAATGCTCCTGGGAGAGAGGGGTATTTTGCCCAAGGTGGTTGTGTTGCATACTTTTGCGAATTCACACACCCCTGTGGTCAGCCACAAGGGAATAAGGGCAGAGGATCAATTCCAGACAAGGATTTGTTGATCTTAGGGACAAAAGGTTGGAGATGAACTTTGATGCCAATGTACCACCTTTGAAAAATTTCGGGCAGGTGCTCGGAGGACACAGATGACCAAATTACCTGCCGAGTCAGGGCCGTGGGGACCACCACCCGTTTCTAGGAGCACTAACGGCAGAACACACCTGCTCAGCGGGGGAAATGCGGTGCTTTCTTCTCTGGACAAAAAGGGTGGTCGTGGTTGGCGGTGGGAAATAATGTGCGGTCTCTCTGCCGATCTGTTTCCCGAGGCCCTGAGCTGCAGCTGTTGAATTTCCAGACACAAACAAGTATGCGTTCTGAGAGCCTGGCCGAGCCCACACGCAGGGAGAGCCAAGCTGGATGCCATTCTGCTTTGCACATCAGCAGCTCTGCCGCCAGCTGAACTCCAGGGCAACAGCGGTGCCCGGTAATGATGCAGGCGGTCGGGATGGCACAGCTGGACGGGCTCGGGCAGTTCCCGGGGCCACACTTGGCCTCGATTATTTGGGGGAGAATGAGAAATGAAGGAAGATCAAGAGTTGCAGAAATGTATCAGCCTCAGCAAAAGCAACGCACGGCAAGGAAAACCTGGGGTTGCCAGTCGTCACCAGCACGCCGGACTGAGTGCTGGTTTATGTGTCGGGGAGGCCTCCTGCCACTCACTAAGAGTCAGCAGACAGGAAAAGGGGTCCACTTTCAGTCAACAGCCACCACACACCACACGAATGTGACCAGCTCAGCACAGCTTGCCTCCCTGTACTCGAGGGCCTGAGTCCGCAGCGGCCGCTTCTTCTCACTCACACAGGGCTCCCTACGGCCTCTGCCCAGCCCGTCACCATATATCTGACAGGCTTCAGAGAAATCTAAAAGGAGTGACAAATGGGTAAAGGGTGACAAGAGGGAAGATGAGAATTTAGGTATTTTCTTTCTCTTTGCTAGACAGTCATGATGTCTGCTTCTCCTCACCCATTTATGACCAAGGACTACGTACCCTCTGCAGCAGAGGGTCAGGAGGACTGAGCCAGGGGGAGGGGATGAGGAGCCAGGGGAGGGGAGAGAGGACGCCAGAGGCTCTCCGGTAGTTCTCGGTGGCTGGTGAGACGTGCCGTTCTGCCTACAGGCTGCATGCTGCTTGGGTCCGGATTGTGAGCGGGGATGGATTTTGTGTGGAGAGAAAGGGCTGAGTGCTCAGAGTTCCTCAGCCCCTAAGGAATCTTGTCTCTCCAGCTGGTCAGTAGGTAACAGTGAAGGGGGAGGGGAGGATAGTCTTTCTCAAGACAAAGGAGCCGAGAGGCATTGCATAACAACTATTCCTCTGAGTTGGAAGTTTCCACCAGAGCAGTGGTTCTCAAAGCACACCCCCAAACCAGCAGCCCCCATGTCACCTGGGAACTTGTTGAGAATGCAGACTCTCAGGCCCCCTTGGCCCTGCTGAATCAGAAACCATGGGGCCCAGCACTCTGTGTTTTTCTCTTTTTTTTTTTTTTTTGTTTGGTACATGCCCCTAGCGGGAACCGAACCCGGGACTCTCTGGTCCGCAGGTCGATGCTCCAACCACTGAGCCAAACCGGCCAGGGCAGCACTCTGTGTTTGTTTATTTATTTATTTATTTATTTATTTATTTATTTATTTATTTTTTATCCTCGCCCGAGGACATTTTTTTTGATATTTTGTTCAGATAGAGTGGGAAGGAGAGAGAGAGAGAGAAACATCGACGTGAAAGGGACACATCGAGCGGCTGCCACCCACACAACCCAACCAGGGCCAGGGACAAACTGCAACCGAGGTACATGCCCTTAGCGGGAACTGAACCCGGGTCTCTCGGGACCGCAGGCTGATGCTCTAACCGCTGAGCCAAACCGGCCAGGGCAGCACTCTGTGCTTTAAGCAGCTCTCTAGATGATCCTAATGTCCATGAAAGTTTGAGGACCGCTTGTCTGGATTACCAGCTGCCTGGACGAGCTGTGTTCAGCAGGTGTCTGAGAACCCAGGGGGACAGCCTGAAAAGACACAGGCCAAGTGCCCACTTCCCAGTGTGTTCAAGGTCAGCTGACCCAGTTTTAGCCTTTGTCCTTGAGCCCAGGGTCCCTGCCCTTTCAAAAGAAATACTGATGCCCTGGCCAGTTTGGCTCAGCGGTTAGAGCGTCGGCCTGCGGTCCGGAGAGACCCGGGTTCGGTTCCCGCTAAGGGCACGTACTTCGGTTGCAGTTTGTCCCCGGCCCTGGTTGGTCGTGCGGGTGGCAGCCACTCGATGTGTCCCTTCACGTCGATGTTTCTCACTCTCTCTCCCTTCCTCTCTCTCCCTCCCTCTCTATCTGTACAAAAAAAAAAAACAAAAAACAAAAAACAAAAGAAATACTGAACCAGACCAGACCGCTGCATTGGCACAAGATCACACTTTAGTTCAGAGACACATTTGCATAAATACTTGAAGTGGATCCACCCGCAGGTGGAGGCCTGAGAACACCTGGTTCTCCACAGTCCTGCAGCCCTCGAGGTGATGGATTTTAAGAGTGAGGAGAGTCACGGTCACTTTTTGAAGCCAGCTTCGGAGATGGCTTTGACGTTCGTCATTGACCCCCTGCCCCACACCTCTCTTGGATTAAATTTTTCCCCTCTGAGGTAGATTATTTATAGGGGAAACCGTTTAACTTTGTTAGGCCTTTGCAAACAGGCTGAGTCTCCTGTTTGGGTTAGCAAGTGCACTTTTTACCTTTGAACCTATGCCCTCTACTTGAACCCAAGCAAGGTCCCGTCCACTAGAAAGTAGTGGACTGGTTGGCCCATCCTGTCTTCCCTCCCCGTGCCAGAGGGGCTGGTGCAGTGTGAGACCTGGGTAGCCACGCCACCTCCAGACACAGAGTCACTACAGGGACACCTGTCTGCAGCCCAGCACCCCGAGTCCACGAGCACAAGACTGGGCCCCGCCGGGTCACAGAGGGCATGGCTGGCTTCCACAGGGCTTGGCATCCTCGGGCTTCAGAGCCTTGCTGCAGGCGGCGGAGGCCTGGCCGCTGGGGTCGCGGCACTCCACGGTCCGTCGCTGCCAGCCGGCTCCGCAGCTGCCGGAGCACTCAGACCAGTCCCCCAGGACCCACTGTGCGTTGAGCAGGGGCTGGATGATGTTGGTGGTTGCTCTCTCCTTGCTGTTCTGGATGCTGAAGTTCACGTCATCGGGAACGAAGAAGGTGTATTTGACTTTGGGGGGGAAGACCTCACCAGGGACTGTCAGGAGCTGCACGGTCAGAGGCTCTGGCAGGGGCCGGAAGCTCTGCAGCCGCTCCAGGGTGGCCATGGAGCCACTGTACTTCAGGATGGTCCCCTTCACCAAGATGTCCTGCTCAATGGCGGAGATGGCCAGGTTCCCGTTGAGCAGGTACTGCCCGTCGGCAGTCTTCAGTGCCAGGTAGTTGCCATCATTCTGGACCCCGGGGTGGCTCCGCTGTTTCACATCGATGTTTGTGGCACCAGCTGGGATGGTGACGATGTCATTGTAGCCGTAACTAGGACAGGAACAGAATGGCACTCTTGAGACCAGTGGCTTCCCAGCCCAGAGCCTAAGAAAGTTAACCTGCTGGTGACGGGGGGGGGGGGGGGAGCAGGGGACATGGGAGGTAGGTGGGGGGTAGGGGGTGGTGGCAGACAAAAACCAGCAGCAAATAATTATGCAGTCACCTCCAAGCTGCAAAGCCAGGAATGTTCTGTGCATTGGCTTTTCATGGGCCTTTGCTTTGCCTGGCAACTCTGTTTCAAATGTGGGGCTGAGGAGCTTAGGCTGCGGGTCTTGACCATAGCGCAGGAGGAAGGCAGCCCAGAGGGGTTTGCAAAGCTGCCCTGGCTGCCAAGCCTGGCAGCTCTTGGCTCAGATGAGATCTCAAACACATCTAGTTTTCTGCACTGGTATAAAACTTCGCTTGGCCACTTTATGGCCAGAGCTGAAACCCATGTGGAAAAATATGTTCCACAGGCTCATTCCGGAATCTGACTCCTCACTCCACTTCTCAGAGTCCATCGGTATCGGTGAGCACGGCTCGAGGGCAGGAGCCAGGCACAGAGGAGTCTGCCGGATGTGCCCAGATACCATGACTGTGCTTCCCGGTGGGGAGGATGCTGTTTGTGGGAAGTATTTCAACTCTACTGCAGGGCTTTACCGGGGCTGGAGGAGCACAGCCAGTTGGTTCTTCACCATGTTTGCCTTACACCCAGCTGGGGCCAGCTGCTTAGTCTAGGGCAGTGTGACAGCATCGTGGGCCACTTTGTCTAATGCCTAGGAGAGAGCCAGCTAGGGGACCCAGTGTCTGAACATCCCACATCCCACGCTTCTTTCTTCTGTATCCTCTGATTTTATTTTATTTATTTATTATTTATCTTGAGATAGAGCGAGAGGGAGAGAGAGAGAGAGAAACATTGATGTGAGAGAGACACCCACATTGAGTGGCCGCCACCCACAGGACCCCAACGGGGGCTGGGGACAAACTGCAACCAAGGCACGTGCCCTCAGTGGGAACTGAACCTGGGACTCTCCAGTCCGCGGGCCGACGCTCCAACAGCTGAGCCAAACCGGCCAAGGCTGTATCTGATTTTAAATTAGAAAAGACCTGCAGGTCGTCTGCTGTGAGCTGATTCTGTTCTCTTGAGCCTGATGAGGAGTGAGACAGGGAGACACAGAGGGGCCCAGAGTGGCTGCCTAACACCTGCCCTCCCCTTTCTCTCCAGGAAGTGCCTGCGACGGCAGGAGGAAGACTGTCCAGGAGTTAAGAAACCGGAGTTCTCTTCCCGGCTGTTATCGGTGATCAGTGGGACCTTAGAAGAGTCAGCTCACCTTACAGAACCTTAGTTTCTTCATCTGTGAATGGGGAATACTGGTGTTGGCCTTGCCCACCTCAGAGACTTGATTCAGGAATCAAGCAAGGCCAAAGAGGTGAGAGTACTTACATACTAGGGGCTTTATGCACGTGGGGCCTTCAGCTTGGAGAAAGCGTCTGGGGTGCTCGGACGTATGAAGGCAGAGGCCACCGAGGCACCCTCCCTTGTACCCCCTTCTCTAATGATTCACCTGCAGGAAGGGCAGGCTGGCCAGGAGCGGGGTGAGATGTCCTTCCCGAAACAGGCCTGGAAGAGCTGCTTTCTGGCAACGGTCCTGGTTGCTCAGTGCAGCTCTATTGCCAGTTGACTCAGAGATGATCCATCCCTGGCCATGAGGCCCCTGGCTGCCCTGTGCACGGTCCTCTCTACGGGCCAGACCCTGTCCCGAGTCCTCTGCGTGCCCCACCTCTGGCTCTTACAATGACTCCGAGATGCAGAGGACTGCTGACGCTTTGTCAGGAAACCGAAGCTCAGTGCTCCACGGATGAAGGAGCAGCCACAACCTGGCTGACGGGCATGATTCAAAGGCTGCTCTGCCGTTCGACTCAGTACCGAACTAGGAGGCTCACCTGGAGGGGCTGAGGGAACCGGAGACCTTCCGGCATGAGTTGCCTTTGCCCCCACACACCCCACATTTGTCCAGCTTTCTAGGCGAGTCCACCACGTGGTCACAGCCAGCCTTGACGCACTGGCCACGGACACAGATGGCCAGGGTCTCCGGCCCGCACAGGGTGCCATCGATCACCTGCAGCAGGGACGAGAAAAGGAAGAGAGGGCGTGGCGGGCACAGAGGCAGCCCATGGCCAGGGGTGGGGTGGGGTGGGCTGCGGCAGGTGACCTTCACCCTCATCTGTGGATGTGAGTTCCAGGAGGGTCCTCACCTTGGCCTCAAACACTTTGAACTCACTCCTTCCCCGGGCTCGGCAGAACAACTTGCAGCGGTCCCGGGGAGACACCCCCGAGTACTTGGGGACCCACTGCAGGAGATTCCCATCCATGTCAGTGTAATTGTAGGCGTTGTATTTCTCACACTGCTGCTCTCGGAAGCTTTTCCCTGAGAAGAGGAAGGAAAGGCATGGAGTTAACACGCCGCGGCGACGCACGGGGGACCCAGCCGAGAGATGCCTGCATTCAGTACCTTTCTTCCTCCTGGTTTTGACCCGACCCCAGGACACAGGTCCAGCGTCGCCTGGGCCCAGCGTTTCTAGGTGCACCCAGCCCAGGTCCACATGTGACCCTTACGGGGCCAACGCAAGGAGCATCCAGCTGGGCTTTCTCAGATGAATGTCCTTTCCATTTGAGGAAGACATAATTCTGTTTTACAGACGCATAAACTTAGGTAACCGCGGGACAATTCAGAGAGCGTGGCAAGCACAGACCGACACGTGGAGTTCTGTGTCTGGGCCCCTGCCATCGCCTTGACTCCCTCAGTGACACTGGACGTGTGGCTGTGGACCGCCAGGTCTCCAGCTCCGGCTGATCCTGCCCTGCGCGCCACTTGCCGTGGTTCCGCGTGTGTGGGGGGGACTCCATCTGTAGGTGCTGCGATTACCTCCAGCTCAGCCCAGCCCAACTCCATATGGTTCCCCCATTAACTGGATTGATTTTCATTTGGTGATACTTCCACGTTCCAGCCTGAGACTGAACATCTGAGTATCTACATCCTCCATTTCCCAGCTGTCCTTAAATCCGACTGTAGTCAGGACAACCTGTGATTTTAAATGTCCCCCTCTCCCAGGCCCAGGCCTCGTGGCTTCCCTTGGGACCTAGTGCCCAGCCTCCTACACACGGCTGCCTCCTTTCTCGTCCTGCTCCCGCTGTGTCCAGAACCATCAGCTGAAGTAAGACTCGGTATTTCACAGACCTACAGCTAAACCTGCCCTTGTTACTGAGGCCTTCCAGCCCCGCTGGATATCGGCACGGCCGTGGAGACTTTTCAGAGTGCAGATGGCTGTGCCCCACTTCTGTTCCGGTCAGTCCATCTGAGGGGTCTGGCACTGAGAACTTCTGGATGCCATTCCGGCTTTCATGGACCTTTGTCGTCTGCCCTTGAAATGCTGGTACATTCCGAGGACTCTATGGGAGTGAGTCACAGCCCCCTCAGACCTCCCCCTCTCCTGCCCGTCCCCCACACCTCGTCACCACTGCAGTCCCCCAGGCTCTGCTCAGCTCTCACTCCCTGAAGCTTCTGACTCGTCCTGGCTCTTCCTTGCTCCAAATTCCTCATGAGCCCAGGGTTCGTGCTTCACAGATTAAGTTTTACTTGTTTGTAAAAGGGATTTGGATCTCTGGCTAGATGCTCGTTCCTTGAGGATGGGGACCATGCTCTGTGCGTTTTTTATGTCTTTGTAACATCTGTTACAGCTCTAGCCAAACAAGAGGCACTAAAAGCACTTGCTGATTGAGATGCTCATCCTGGTGCCTCTGAAATCAATCGCCCACTGTCCGTGTGTACCTGGCAAACCCGCACAGTTCCAGGGGCTGCTCCACCCGTGTGCCAGGCAAACCCTCACAGTTCCGAGCAGTTTCTAGGGCCCCTGCCACTGCTGATTCTCCCGTCTTGCAAAACTGCAAAAGCTGCAGATCCCCCCACTGGACACCAACCCAACGCCAAGGCGTCTTTGCATTTGGATGGATCTCTCTTAAGCTCTGCTTGTCTTCGGCTGCCTGCAAGACCTCCCGGAGCTGCACAGAGGGGAGCTGGTAGGGGAGAAACTGTGGACTCCCTCACCAGTTCGGCCGCTGCCGTCCCTGCCTCTGAGGCACTGTGTGTGCCTTCTAGCGCGTACCTGGGGTAGGAATGCACCAAGGGAGGTAGAGGCAGTGTTGCTTCTTGGGAAGATTCTGTGAAGCAGTTGCCACGGGTCCCAGAGAACACAGGCAACTCTTGTCCGAAGGAATGGGCACTAGAATCAGAAATCCTCCCTCCGCCCTGGGCTGGAGGTTGACTGGGAGACCCTGGAGGTTTGGCTCTGAGACTTGCTTTGGAAAACGCTTCATTCTGCACACAGATGAGGGTTCAGATGCTTCCCGGAGGAACAGTATCCTAGATGCTAGCCCCCTGCCAGCCTCCTCCCCCACGCGAGTTGGTTTGGCGGGACATCCTCTGTCTCCACACCCTGGAAGACCAGGGCTACTCCTCTCCCAGACTTTGCCAGCACAGAGCTGGCCGGGGTCGCTGAGGGCTGTCCTAGAACTGGTGCCTTGCAGAGCCCATTTATGTCTGGGTCCCAGGAAAGCTCTGCATCCGGGACGCACCCTCCTCCTTCCCCTTCTGGGGACCCTAGGCAGCAGCCAGAACAGCTGCTCTGGCAGGTGAGGCCCTAAGTGGCGATTACCATCAGGGGGACATTCCTCCGTGTGGCATGACTGGTACTTGGCTCTCCGACCCAAGCAGTATCTTCCTCCGCTCTGAGGCTCGGGGTTCGTGCACTCGCGGTGTGAAAACTGTACTCCTCCTCCGCAGGTCCGGGAACATTCTCCCCAGGGTCCCCAGGGGGCCCAGCCTCCATCCACCGCGGCCTGCAACATACAAAGCCGGCTGAGTCAGGGGCTGAGTTATGCGTGGGGCGGGGCACGGAGTTCAGTGAATCGCCCGAATCATTTGTCTCGTGACTGCGTGGCCTGCTTGGCTATCGGCTTTGAGAACACACAGCCTGTGCTGGGCTTGCTCACGGCTGACTGCTCAGCGTCTGAACAGCGCCTTGTTCTCCGTAAGAGACTCCATGTTAACTGCCGAATGAAACTCTTTTATGGGCATGAGGTTGGATCTAAGGTGGCAGTTCTTCACTGGGGCCAGTTTTGTCCTTTGGGGACATTTGGAAGTGTTTAGAGACGTTTTGGTTGTAGTAACTAGAGACGGTCTCTGCTGCTGGCCTCTAGTGGGTAGAGATGAGGCGCCGCCAAACATCTAACAGTGAACAGCCAACAATGAACAAGACACTTCCTCTGCCCAAGGCTGAGTAGCCCCGGGGTCACTAGAGCCGACGCTGAGAAGTCCCGGCCTCAAGGCAGCCGCGGGAGGTGAGGCTGCGGGTCTACCAGCCGTCCAGGGGGCAGATGACCCCTGGGAAATAAACAGAGCTGCTTCCAACTTTACAACCGGCCTGTGACAGCAAAGCTTTGCCCTTGGTGGGTTCACAGAGTTTTCAAAATGAAAATAATGGTTAAAATTACAGAAAGAATGTTTGCTTCTATAAAAAAGGAAAGACACAGCAAAGTGTAAAAAAAGGAAGTAACCCTTTAAGAAACGTGCTACTCCCTGGCCGGTTTGGCTCGGTGGTTAGAGCGTCAGCCCGCCAACCAATGAGTCTCGGGTTCGATTCCAGTCAAGGGCACGTACCTCAGCTGTGGTTTCTCCCAGGCCCTGGTCGGGTCATGCGGGAGGCAGCCAGTCAATGTGGCTCTATCACATCGATGTTTCTCTCTGTCTCTTTCTTTCTTTCTCTCTCTCTCCCTCCCTCCCACTTCATCTAATGATAAAAATAAAAAAATAAAAAATAAAAAATGTGTTACTACCCAGATAAAACCATTGGCATGATTTTCATCAATATCCTTTCATACTTTTGCTTTGGATATATAATCATAAAGATGTGGTGTTTTTTAAATTTCACACAGCTATGATCCTGTCACATACAGGATTAGATGATAAACAGTATCCTATGAGCACCCCATGCCGACCTCTCTAGGCACTGAGGTGGCTCTGGTGGGGGAAGGTTGCATGGACCCCTCTCTCCCCTCAGTGATGTGAGAAGCTCATGCCACAGGAGAGGGTGACCCCTAGACGAGAGGCAGCCGAGGACGGAGCTGAGAAGCAGTGTGGGCTCGCCTGGCCCCAGCAGGCTCCCGAGACGCGGTGCACAGGACACACGTCACAGAGAACAGCCCTTGGGAGCGTGAGTGCTCGGGCCACCCTGAGATTCAGTGCTGGGCTGGGACCAGGCCACAGAACAACGGATGCCTCTCGGCGGACGGCTCGGTGACTCGCAGCAGGAGAAACGTGATCAGCCCCACGGTTTGGAAGCGCGGAGAGCAGGGCGAAGCAGCCAACCGTCTGCAGCTCGCGGCGGCACTGCCTGCGTTTTCTGGCAGATTCGTCGTGTCCTGGGCCAAGTTTTCTCTGCCTGTCCTCCTCTTTAGTTCGGAATCCCCACAGTTACTCTCCTTCCCCTGACCCCTAATTACGAATGCAGCCCAGACATGGGTAGGCTAGGAACCCCTCCCTTCAGGTGACTGAAGGTTCCTGAGTCACTCTTATCCGTCAATGAAGAGTTCAGACGGCCTCCGTTGACCGCGGGCCCACGTTCGGGTCTCTGTGCGGAGAGTCTCCCACGCATCACCAGCCTCCACAGGCCTTCAGCTATTTAGCACCTAATCCTATTTATATGGCAGAATCATATCTGTGTGAAATAAAAAGACCACCACAGCTTTATGATCGCATATTCGCAGCAAAGCCTTCGACGGGAGGTCCCCAGATGCCTGGAGCGCAGGCAGCGTCGTGGTTCACCACGAGCACAGCTTCGAGAGCTCCTCCCGCGTCCGGATGAATAGGCTTGGCTTGGAAAGAGTGTGGCTTTACTTAGAAAACAGAGCTGCAGCCTGGCCCAGAGTCTCTTAGTTCATGGCTCCCAAGTGTGCTTCTCCCTACACCACCCTGCCCGTCCTCTGTGTCCCCAAGGGGCCGTTCCTCACCTGGGGCTTCTCCGCTTCCTCCTCGGGGAGACAGCTGCCATCCCAGCAGAGGTGCCCAGGCCCACAGGGTGTCCCATCAGCCCAGGGCAGGCTGCCGTTCTTCGTGTGGCAAAGGGGCTCGGCGCCACCCGTGTGGCACCAGAGCTGGGCGCAGACGTCCTGCGCAGAGGTGTTGGGGCAGTGGCGGAAACCCAGCCCGAAGATCTGCCTGCACTGTTGGTCCAGGTCATAGAGGGCCCGTTGGCCCGGGAGGTCCGTCGGGAGGGGCAGGGCCGAGGCAGGGGCATCTAGGAGACAGTCTCCTGAGAAATGGAGGAAGCAGGGGAACAAGAATAAGGGGCCAGCGTTTCCTCTCTCAGCTCCCCACGGCTCCCCAATCACCCTCACATCCCACTGCCGGAGTTGGAGGGCTAGACGCCACGCGTGACTTCAGTCTAAAAACTCAACACCCGCCATCTAGACAGAACTTGTCCAGATTTTGACTATCAGCCTTCCTGTCTTTAGGACTGAATTTCTTTTGTTACCCTGAACATCTTATATGATTCAGTGTTTACCAGCAAATTGCAATATAATTGACATCAATTTCACTGGGGGTGTACATGAACTCTTAAAAACCATGGCATGCAAAATAAAGCCAAAGAACTGATGTTTGGGTAACCCGTTCGTTCTGTGTTGTAGGTGCTCCTGCCTCTCCAAGGACAGAACTCAAGAATAAACTGTCTCCACTGCTCCACTCCACAGGCAAGCTGTTGAACCAGCACGGGGCTCCCAGCCCCTCAGCCCCCACGTCCCGTTCTCTTTGCCACGTCTGAGCCACCACGTGCTGCCCCGCTGCAGCTGGACCTTCTCCTTCTCTGCGCTGCGGCGTCTTCCCTCCCTCCAAGCCCACTCCCCCAGACAGCCCTCAGCCCCATTCCACCTGCTTTGTGCCTAACAAGCCGGGCGAGCCCAGAACTCAGCTGCTGGGAATGGGGCAAGGAAGAGCGTGCTCTGTGGGAACGGGGAGCGGGCGTGCACAGGAGGTGGAGCCAGGGACAGATCTCTGGAGCCCCTTCGAACCCCAAATGGCTATGACCCTTCCTGATGGAGCTCAGCTGGGCACACAGTGATCTCAGGAGCCCGCCTGCCAGCCGCTGGCCAGGGATGCCTACCGTGCCCACCGTCCAGCAACTCCGTGAGGTACATGGCGCTGCAGGGGGACCAGGGCAGCGTCTTGTTTAGGTGGACGAAGAGGGGTGCCATCATGTGGTGCTTGCCCATGGGCCCAAAGAGCCGTGCACAGGGCTTGGAGTCGTCGTGGGGCATGCTGAGGACGTGCCCTGGGGACAGAGAGACCCTCAGTCTACCTGGCAGCCTCCAGGCTCCCCATGGGCCCAGGGCCCTCCCTCTGAGAGGCGGAGAGGGAGAGGGAGAGGGAGAGAAAGGGAGAGAGAGAGGGAGAGAGAGAGGGAGAGAAAGGGAGAGAGAGAGGGAGGGAGGGAGAGGGAGAGGGAGGGAGAGAAAGGGAGAGGGGGAGAGAGAGAGGGAGAGAGGGAGAGGGAGAGGGAGAGGGAGAGGGAGAGGGAGAGGGAGAGAAAGAGGGAGGGAGAGGGAGAGGGAAAGAGAGAGGGAGAGGGAGAGGGAGAGGGAGAGGGAGAGGGAAAGAGAGAGGGAGAGGGGGAGAGAGGGAGGGAGAGAAAGGGAGAGAGAGAGGGAAAGAGGGAGGGGGAGAGAGAGAGGGAGAGAGGGAGAGAGAGAGGGAGAGAAAGGGAGAGAGAGAGGGAGGGAGAGAGGGAGAGAGAGAGGGAGAGGGAGAGGGAGGGAGAGAGGGGGAAGAAAGGGGGGAGGGAGAGAAAGAAGAAAAAGGAAAAGGAGGACGAAGAGGAGGAGAAGAAGAAGAAGAAGGGAGAGAAGGAGGGAAGGGGGAGGAGAGGGGGAGGGAGTTTTATGCCCTCTTCTTATTTTTTAAAGATTTATTTTTCCACTCTGGGCTTCTCTCTTCCAGGAAATTTTCCCAGAGTACTGAGGAACACTGACACCCCATTTCCTGCCTCAGCCTGTCTCAGATTCACATTCGCCCCAGTTACTCGCTCGCCCTCCCTTCACAATCAATCTTCGCCGAGTTCTGCCCGCTCAGTTGGGATATAGCATCACCACTTGACCCGAGCCTCTGTTCCCTGTTGGGGCATTTTCCTGGTGATCTCGGATGATGGTCCAGGGCACCGTGTCAATGCTCTGGCCTCGTGCTCAGGCTGGGCGCGGAGAAAGCACAGCCGTATTGGCGTGTGATAGTTCTGTGAGAACTGTGAGGGGACCTGGCTAACTGTGCGGGCGGCGGGCTCCTCGGGACCTGGTCGGCCTGAGTTTGCAGGAGGCAGTTCTCGGACACGTGGGGTAGGTGTGGGCAGGGCAATGGGCAGGGCAGCTCTTACCCAGCTCGTGGGCCAGAGTGTAGGCCGCCTGGAGGCCCTCGTCCTCGATCACAGAGCAGCTCTTGTTGGGGTCACAGATGGTGCCAATGTCCGCCACGCCCAGGGTGTCGCACATGCCCTCTTTCCCACAGAAGTTCTGCGTGGTGGAGAGAGTCAGGGCGTGAGGACAGACACGGAGGAGAACACCCTCCTATTCCTGCTCCTCCTGAGTTGAAGGACAGATTTTTAAGCCCAAATCCCCATTTCTTCGCGCAGGACTTGCGTTGGAGGAAGGCCGTTTCTCTGTCTGCGTGGTGTGTGCGAGGCTGGCTGGGGACAGCTCGTCTGCGGAGCAGGACCGCACAGTGGCTAAGAACACGGACCCTACGGCCAGACTGCGTGGGCCGGCTGGGGGCGCTGCCACTTTGTGACACACGGTGCCTCGCTTTCCTCAGCTGTCAACGGGGACCGGCACACAGTTCTCGCCCCTGGGGTTGTGATGAGGACTGAGGCGGGAATGGAGCCTGGCACACGGGGCCCCACGCGCTAGCCTGGCGAAGTTGCCCGTTTCAGCCACACAGATCTGCGGGCAGCCTCCCGATTTGGGGAAATCTTGAAGGTAACCGCCTGGCTACCTGTCCCCAAGTTCAACAACCATCGCAGATGGACTTCCTCTCGGACTCCTGGCTCCGGATCTCTCACTGGGCGCCGGGGGCCCATTTCCTTTTGTTATGACCTCAGCAGACAGCTGGCCATAAACATTGGGAAAAGAGCCCTAATGAGATTCCTCTCCTTCCCTTGCAAATACCTCACACTTGTCCTCATGACCTCCTCCTCCTCATCACTCCCCTCGCAAGGTCCTGGCGTCCAGCTGGGGCCAGCAGGGGGACCTTTCCTAGGTCTGGGCAGGCGTAGGGGCCCTCCCTCGGACCCACCCAGCCGCCATCCCTCCCACGGACCTGTCTGGTGAGCAGAATGGCCGTGTCGAAGTGCTCTGGGTGCCGGTCGCTGGGCTGGTTGAAACGCCGTTGCCAGTTGCAGAAGCTGCGCAGGGTAAGCCCACCGTTGTCGGACACCTCCGGGCCCCACCGGTCATCTTCCACTATGAGCACTTTCACCACCACCAGGTTGACGGCGTTCCTGATGCTGGGGTGCTTGTAGATGCGGGCCGCCACGGACATCAGCGTCAGGATGTGGTTCTGTCGGGGACAGCGAAGGGCTCACCTCTCGTTACCCACTCCAGGCGCCCTGCTCTGTGCTGAGGGTCTGATAAATGTCATCGTGCTGAAAACTCAGCCCCCGAGACCCTTCATCTTACGTAAAAGAAAGTTGTGTCTCAGGAACTATCCCAAGATCACAAGACTCATGAGTGCACAGCCCACCCCTGAGCCCAGACTGCCTGGCCCCAGACCTCGTGCAGGTGACATCCTGACCGGACTCATGGGGCTGTGTAACTCGAAACAGATTAAAACTCGGTGACATTAAAACGACAGCTCCCCTGTCACACTGGCCACATTCCAAGCGTGTCAATAGCCATCTATGGCTTGTGGCTACTGTAATGGACTGAGCAGACAGAACCTTCCATCATCACAGAAAGTTCTACTGGACCCAACCCTGCACGCTGCCTTGACCTTGACACCAACCGTGTCTCTGTCAGCTGCCCCCTTTCCTGTCCACTGTCAGCCCAGGAGTAATAATCTGGGTGCCCCGGGTTAGGAGACTTTCCCTCTGAGAACCCAGCCGAGCATGTTCCTGATGTCTGCTGGTCTAGCCTCTGCTCTTCAGGGTGATGATGTTAACCCTGAAAGCTTGGCTGTACCAATCACTGCAAACAATAGCTACTCTGCTCTGGGCACAGGGCCCCCCCTTTACCAGTGTCACCTCGTTACATGGTAACCCCGTGAAGTAGGTGCTGCAATCCCGACCTCCAAGGCCACACCTCTCTTCAAGCCAGGATGCAGTGCGGGCAAGCCCGTCTCTGGCCCACACTCTTCTCATTAAATTTCCCAGTGCTTGGCCTTCGGGTTTTTGCCTGGACAACCGTGAAGGGTTTATTCCCTTCTGTCCGGGGCTTGAGAGAATCCAGTGGGCCTAATGAGACCCAGATGCTTAGGATCACACCTGCTGCGAGTCCCACCCCAGCCGGCTGGAAGGGTCTACGTCATCGCTTGGCCTCTGTCCTGTCCCTCGGCTGCCAGCTGCTCCCATGGCTTTGGAGGAGGCCAGCCTGCAGCTCACTGTCCGGCCTCAGGGACCTCTAAAAGTGAGTTCTCGCGGGTTATTTTGCAGAGGAGGAGACAAAGGGGCAGAGGCGTGTGTGTGGCCCGCTGACAGGCACTCGCTTGCCCTGCCCCTGTCTCTGGGGCACCATCTCTGCAAGCCCCTCTTTTCTCTCTGGTGGTTTGGAAGGTGGGGGTGGGAGGAGGGTAAAGCAGAGCGAAAGGCCGGAGAAGGACATTCTGTCCATTCTGTCGCTGAGGCCATGTGTGGGAGCTCCAGCCGCATCGCATCACTTGTGAATGGGAGCTGTCTGTTCACCTCGCAGGCAACCCGCCAGGTGTTTTGTAAGCCCTACAAACCGGTTGGCAGGTTACTGAGGGTGTCAAGTACTCCAGCTATGTTTAGGCTGATGTAAACATCTTATCAGCAGAGCTGAAACTTGGCACTGGCTCTGGGAGCTGGATTCCTAAGGGAGAAAAGCAATCACATTGTTATGCAACCGGGGGTGAGGGTTGAGGAATGGTAGCTTGCTGAGGCTCCTTCCTGTCCCCGGCTTCACTGGCCCCGGGGCCGCGGAAGAGTCTTCTGGTCTCTTCCCTTAGGAAGGGCCAGAGGCTGATGGTCCAGGGACCAACTCCGGAGACTTTCCTGAGGCAACCTGCAGCCCTCCCCATAGGAAGTCTTCCCTTTGGGTCCTGATGTCATAATCTCACCACTGGGGAGATGATGTCTGACAAAGAAGGTGTGAGGATGAGAGGCCAGCTGCTCAGCACTAGTCCCAGAAAAACATACTCAACACCGAAGACTTGAGGTTTGAGGAGGGTCTGCGTCCCCAGGCTGCCCAGATCTGACAGGCTCCCAGGCGAGACCTTGCGACAGCCATGTCCCCAGGTGGGGTGTGGCATGGGGGACGCTTCCCGATACTCAGGTTTGCAGGAGTCTCCTCCTTTGCAGCTGAGGTAGCTCACAGCCTCTTCTCCAGATGATGAATAACGGTTGGGCTGAGCCGGCTTGACAGCCATTTCCCCGTAAGGTGGTGGGTTCGACTTGAGGACACGTGAAGGTCCTTCTGGCTGCTACCTCGGCAGATGATTTCCATTGCAGGAGGACTGCAATGTGGCCCAGTGTTTCTGTTAAAATCCCTAAACCTTGGCCCACTTACCTCCCCTTTTCTGTCTCACTGAGCTTTTGGAGGTGGAAGGGTCACCATCCCCACTGTTGGCTCCTCTGAGGAACAGTGGCAGGGATGCCTGGCATCTGTGGTGCATCTTCCAGTTCCCCAGGGGGAAGGGCCACTGGGCCCTGGTGGGGTGGTGGCCCTGAGTCGGCGAGCCTCCGATTCTCAGCCAATCCTCTGGGCCAAAAAGGCCGAAGTTACGGTCCCGCAGCGCGTGGGCTCAAGAGCCATGAAGGAGGACAGATGGCTGGCTCCACCACCTGGTGTCCGTGTCTACCTCTGGCACACCAGTGCAGGCTGCTGGCTGAGGCACGTGAAGACTGTGCCCCAGGTGGGCGGGTCCCGATCCAGCAGACAACCTCCCGCAAGCACAGCAGGGGGTGGGCCGGGGCCATGGCCAGCCAGCGGTGGTTAAACAACCCTGCTCCTGGACGTTGGGGATTTGACACCCTTAAGTGTCGTTGCGAAGGTGGGGCGTCTTTCAGGGAGTCTCCTTCTCCATCCAGTTTGGGGAAGTTTTTTGATTCTTTGAGCTACAAACAAAGAGATCCTGCCCCAGAGCTCTGGTGTAGCCCAAGCCCCGAGGGTGGGAGGCTGGGCAGGCCGGGCCTGGATCAGATGTGTTTCTAGCAGCTCCTTCTGCTCAGCGCCATCGTTATGCTTCGCTCACTTGCTCTTGGCACTGTGGGGCCTCCTGGTTTTCCTTGCAGCACCCCGGGGAGAGGCAAGGAGAAGTGTGGAGATGTGGAAACCCTCTGCCACACTCTCCCTTCGTCCTTCTGGGCATCTCCAGGGCCTGAGACTGTGCTGAGGGGCAGGTGGGAAGGAGCAGAGGAAAGGGGCAGAAGCAATGGGAGAAGGTCCTACACGGGGTCCTTCATTTCTCCTTCTCAAGATGTGACAGGCAGTTAGACAGATAGGAGCAGAGCAAGGGCGAGAGGCCAGGTACGGAAGGTCACCAGGGCAGAAAACCCTGGGTACCTAGCAGAGGGCAAACGTAGGGTGGGACCTCGTCCCCAGGCCGACCTTTTCTCCCTGGAGATAACATCTAGGCCTCAGTTATATGTCAGCTCCAGGCCCTGAAAAGCAGCCAAACCAGACAAGCAATGCCACGGCTGGCTGCCTGTGGACCAGCTGCATTGGCTGCTGACCCCCTGCCCTGGTGCCCACCAGTGAATCAGTGGAGAGCTGATGAATATTCTATTAAGATCTTCCCCTGGGACCTCCCCTAAAATCTCCACCCTCAAAACCCTTAGGATGGAAGACCCTGTGCACTCTCCCTCCTGGGGGCTCAGCCCACACCCCTCTCCCTCCCCAGCACCCCCAGGTGCATCACTTTGACCTTCCTCTCTTCCAAACTCCAAGGACCCTTCCTTTCCCTTGATGACTTGTTTCCTAAGCCCATTTCTTCTATGCATTACTTCTTCTACTTTTGTGATTTTCTAAATAAATGCTTTCTTATCGTTTGAGTCTCGACTCTGAATTCTTTCCTAGCCAGACTCAAGTACCGAGGTTGCTGAACCCAGGTCCAGTCTGACCCCACTGGTCTAACACCTGGTGCTGTTCTTGCTGCCTCCAACAAAAGCAGCTGGGCGAGCTGCCTCTCCCAAGCACATGCGTATCAGAACCACAGGGAGTCAAGGGCAATTCTTGGAGCCAAGCGGCTGAAAAGGAACATCTCTCTGCCAGGGGACAGCAGAGCTGGCGTGGTGATGGCAGGCTATGACGGCATGTGACCACACTGTCCTACTCTGAAGCATGCCATTGCCAAAGGCAACTGTAGTATCAGTTATGCTTTGCCGAGCACCTACTATGGTCAGGTGCTTCCTTATTTTATTGTATCCTCAACCCAGTGCCAGGACGCTGGTGTAGCTGTTCTTATTTTGCTGGTGAAAAATTAAGGTACAGAGAAATCACTCAAGGAACACTCCGTTATTTCTATTATCCTTCAAAGCCTATCTTCTTTTTTTTTATCCTCAGCTGAGGATATTTTTTCATTTTTTGTTCAGATAGAGTGGGAGGGAGAGAGAGAAAGAGAGAGACAGAGTGGGAGGGGGAGAGAGAGAGAGAGAAACATTGACGTGAAAGGGACACATCGAGTGGTTGCCACCCGCACCACCCAACCAGGGCCGGGGACAAACTGCAACTGAGGTACGTGCCCTCAGCAGGAACCAAACCCGGGTCTCTCTGGACTGCAGGCCGACGCTCTAACCACTGAGCCAAACCGGCCAGGGCCAAAGCCTATCTTCCTAATCAAGACACCGTCGGCCACCCCTGTTGCCGCCCCCAGGAAACTACAGCATAGCTGAAACACTCAAAGCCAGCTGCGCTGACCTTGTCGGTGACACACCTCATCCCCCATCCCCCCAGGACAGGCTGGAATAGTGAAGGCATTTTCTGTGGGAAATACCTCATATTGTTGATCATTCTGACTGCAGCAGACAAAAGAGATGGAAGGAGTCATTCTTTTGCTAGTGGGAGGACATCATTCTTGTGTATACAACACTAGTCTCTCATTGTCCAAGGCTTGGGTGGCTGGAGGCAGTGAGGCAGGTTTCTGTTTCTGTTAGTTTCCCAAGCAGGACACTTTGGACAATCCGATGGCACTGAACTGAGATGATGCTGGGCAATGGGAGAACCATGGTCAATTCAGTGTTTGGGCCTGTGGCGGACAGTTTCCTCCGACGATATGGTTAAGGGGGAGATGACAAGGCCGTGACTTCGCCCTTCCCTGAGATCACTTGCTAGGAGCTTGACCTCTTGGGAAACCTCCTGTCTGCTCTGGGGACAGTGAGTGCCGCTCCTAGGACCCTCTCCGCCGCCGAGAAGAGAATTCAGAAGCTCGGCCTGCCGTGGATGCCCTGCAGGACATTTCCCAGACAGCGTGGTCTGCTCAGCCCGCACGCCCCCCTGCTCCAGTTTCCCCAGAGCGATCAGCAGCCGCCGGACGGACGCAGACAGAGTTAATGATCTCTTCCGAGGTGGTCTCCCCTTTCAGAAAGCGCCCATTGTCTGGGCTCCTTCACTCTGAAACCAGATAAGAAGGTGGGAAGCAGGGGCCCCCTGTTAAGGGATTAAGTGAACTGAAGTGCACGGAGCTCTGGAAAACTTCACTGTCACTCAGTGCTGAGACCAGCCTGGAGCGTGGCTGGTTCTCAGCCTTCGCAGAGGCTTCTTCTTGTATTGGGCTTGTCTGGGCATCGTTGGACTGCTGGATGCAAGGACCCATTCTCACACTTTGGACGAGTCAGGGGGTCAGCTGAGCCACAGAGCCACGGGCCCTCCTTGAGCACAGAAAGCAGCACTGCACTCGGTTCGGGGACAGGGCAGCAGCCCAGCCCTGCGTGACCTGCAGAAAGTTGCACGTGCTCTGTGCGCTGCACCTTCTCGGTCCAACTCCTTCACAGGTAGTTCCGCTGAGCTGATGGATGGAGACCACTCTGCAGCCTGCGCGCGCTCAGGGACGCTTCCCTGCACAGTGCGGAACTTTCCAGAAGACCCTAGCCCAGGTGTCTCTTCACAGATGAGGAAATCCAAACCCTCAAGGGGATAAAGTGTCGCCTCATCCTCATCATGTCTCCGGTCACTGAGGCACCCCACAGTGCCTCCATCTATGGGATGAAGTCTTTAGGAGACTCCTGGGAGACATACCTATAAAGAACTGGATTCTATTTTGGGGAGAAGGGTCTGGGCAGGCAAGGTCTTGGGAAACCAGACTTGACATTCACTCTTGGCTGAGCTCATGGGCCCAGTTAGGAAGCCCAGGGGATGGAGCTGAGAAGTTCAAGTTTATCCTGCAGCGTCTCCACAGCTGGTGAGCAGTCAGTGCAGAGGGGCAGTGGGCAGTCCTGGAAACAGCTGTGCCTCAGCCCCTGCCCACCCAGCAGGTGTGGCATCATGAGACCAAGGGGGAAGTGGCAGGACTGGTCCAGCTGAGAGAGGATCTTTCTTTGAGGTGGAAGACCTCGCAGTGGACGCCCTGGGGAGAGGAACCCAGGCTTCTCAGGTGCCTGATGCCCATCTATGCTCTTCCGACCTGGCTGGCTGGTGCAGAGGTGCGCCTCTGTGAACGTATGGGGGATGGGATACGCATGTGCTAGGTCATCCAGCAGGCAACACGTGAGGCGTCATCCTGGGCAGTTCTGCCAGGAGAAAGCCCCCCTGCCTGGTGCAGCAAACCTGGGTCAAAATGTAGCCCAGCCTTCCTGCTCTGTGGCCTGGGGCCCAGCACCAAACCATGCCTGCTTCTGGATGGCTCTGGGGTCTGCAGAGGCCAAATGTGTTCTTGAGGCGGATACTCAGTATCTTCAGTGTCTAGGTGAAGAGCTCAGAGAGCGAGATGGTAGGAAGGCATCAGGAAGGACATTTTGGCTCCAGAGACAGACAAGCAATTACTTTTTCTGCTGCTGCTTCTTGTTCTTGTGATTCGTGCCTCCTGGTTCACGTGCGAGGAGGGGCTGAGCAGCTCAGCTTTGGGTTTGCACTGAACCTACTTCAGCCTCTTTCTGATGTTGCCCCCTAGTAGCCAGGCATGCCGGTCCTCACCGGAGATGGGAAGCCCCTCCTGCCACCCTGTCTAGGACTTGCAGGGTAGGCAGGGAAACAGATATTAAGTCAGTGTAGACCCAAAGCCTGTGGGGCAGATGTCCCAGAGGGCTGGCAGCTGTCTTGCCATGCTCTGGCAGAAGTGAGCAGGGAGACAGATGGCATGCAGAGGAGCCCACCCAGGGTTTAACTGGCCCCTGCCGTGGCCACATGGACGTCTTCCCCCCAGTGCTCCCCATCCTTCCATTTGGAATGCATTTTCCAGTGACTGCGGAGAGGAAAAGGGGCGAGAACAAGGGCCGAGTGCACCCCGCCCGGACTGTTCTGCACAGGTGACGGCGAAATGCTCGGTGCTTCCCAAGTCAGGCAAAGGCTGAGCCTAGAATAGGGTCCCCAGCCAAGATTGCCACCACTAGAAAAGCATTAACTGAGCTGTAGCAGTGGCCAGAATCCCTGTTTCAGGGCACTACGACCTCCAGGCAGGTCAGGTCTTCTCTGCCTGGCACATTACCGGTTCTGTGTTCGCAGGGGAAGAGAAAGTGCAGCCTCTACATTTCACCCGGTCTGTGGAGGAGATGGGCCCAGGGCAACACAGACACCTCCTGTGTGTCTGCACCATCTCTGAATCTAGTTAGAAACCATCTGGCTACAGCGGCTATCCTCTGGACATAGTTTTCCCGCCCCAACTCAGTAGAGCGCTGTGTCTGGGCTTAGATCTGCTGGGGTGGACCAAGTATAGATCTGGTTACACTAGGAACAGTAACTGAAAAAGTTCATATCCCCACTCCCTTCTCCCCTCCCTTTTCCGCTGAAGCGTCAGTTTCCGGGACTGAGCCCCCAGGCAGAATCCTGTTCCCCTCCCTTCTGCACTGATGCTGGCACTGCCAAGTTCTGCAGGGATGAGCGCCAGGTTGGCACGGTAGTCCACGCCCCCTGATCAGAACCAGCTGGGCACACAGAAGTGGCACAGCCCCTTTCCAGGTTCAATTCCCTCCAAACATTGTTTTATTTATGGCAACCTCAGTTCCCTGCGCAAGGGAATGAAATAGCCACATCTTTCCACAGGAGCCTCTTAGGTCAGGCTGAGAAGCGGGGGTAGGGTGTATGGTCTTCCACAATGCCCAGTTTTCATCTCTGTTGGAAGAGGCAGGTGCTGGGGGTGCTTAAAAAACCCATTTTAATTCAGTTTGCCGAGAGCTGCGGGAGATTCAGGATGGGGGAGTGGGGGCGAGCCGCTGAGAGGGAAGGACTGGGACCTCCACCCTACACTGGAAAGGCCGTGGGGGGAAGGGCAGTAGGTAGCCCGGGTGTCAGAGGTGAAGCAAAGAGCTCCTGCGCTTTCTCAGAAAGGAAAGAACCTTGTTTGGGGTCAGTCTTGGGAGAGTGAAGAACGTGAAAGGTTTTCTCAGAGGGGCAGAGGAGAATGTGGAGACTCTGGGAGGTCACAGGGGACCTCTGGGCAAAGCGAGTCCTACCTGCAGGTCGGTTCCATAGAAGGCTGCCATGGACGCATCAGCTACCAGCAGTGTTTCCACGAAGCGAGCCTCAGACACAAACCGCTTGGTCCTACTCGCGTCCCCCAGAGGTGGTGGCAGCCCGAGGGCGCCTTCTGACACATCTTCTTCACTCTCTTCCCGCTGTGCCTCCTCCTCCTCTTCCTCCTCGAGCTCGTCGTCTCTCTCCTGCCTCTGACTGTCGCCCTCCTGCACCCCCCACTCGGGTCCTCTGAAGAGGGGGTGGGCTTGGGCGCTGCGCGCGCCGGGTCCCCAGCGCTGCAGGCGGTGCGGCCGGTGCAGGGAGTCCCCCGCGCCTTGCGGCTGGATGGTGAACTCCTCGCCGTCCAGCAGGAACGAGCCGCTCAGCCCGCCGCACAGGCTGACGGCTGCCAGGGACTCTGGCAGCCCGTTCACGGTGCCGGAGAAGAAGCAGTCGCGCAACTCGCGCTCGCTCCCGGCAGCCCCGCCGGAGTCCCCGAGGCGCTCGATCTTGAACTCGGGCGCCAGGAAGCTGGCGTCGGGCGCCAGGCGCAACTCGAAGCCCTGGCCGAAGGCGGACAGGTGGAGCGCCAGCTCTCCCGCGCGGTCCACCCACCGCGTGGGCACCACCAGCTCCGAGGCCGGGCCCGGGGCTCCAGGCCGGGCCGGGGCGCCGCGGGCGAGCGGCTGCAGCAGAAGCAGCGGGAGCAGCAGCGACAGCAGCAGGAGCGGCGGCCACTGGGGAGCGGTGCGGGGCATGGGGGCTCCGGAGGCGGCGCGCGAGAGCGGAGAAGCCGGCCCGGCGCGGGCAGGTGCTGGCGGCGCAAGCGCTGCCGGGCCGCTCCCTCCAGGAAAAATGAGATCGGTCAGGTCCCTGAGCGACTCAGCCCGTGGGGGCCTGGCCGCTGCGCGGTGCCCGGGCGGCCCCTCCGGCCACGCAGCCCGCTCCTCCGCGCCCGCCCGCCGATCAGGCGCGAGCAACTGGCGCCCGGAGCCGCGCGCGCGTCCGCCGCCCTGCCTCCTCCCCACCCCGGGAAGCACCGAGTGGGCTGCAGAGCCCTTCGTATTTATACTTCCTTCCCGGCTTTGACATAAGAAGTTTATTTTTGATCTCTCACTATTCCCGTTTCCCCTCCCCTGGGACCAGAGAGAGAGAGAAACTGAAAAGAGGGAGTGAGAGAGGAGAGAGAGAGAGAGAAAAAAAAATTGGTTGAAATGTAAAACCAATCAGGAGTCAGCGAGACTGGCTCCCCTCTCCACTCCCCACCCTCCCAAGTGTCAACTCCAACTTTTTCCCTCTCTCTTTATGCGTGGTCCACATTAACTCCTACAGTGCTGGACTGCCCTGCAGGCGGAGTCCTTGGGGAGGCCCCCTCGCTCTCTCCTTTAAGGTCAAGTGCCCAGGACACATCCTCCGCCTTGGCCCCAGCGACAGTACTCGGATCCCTGCGGAGTCACTCTGGGCATCCGACTGTACGGAAAAGAGGTCTCCTCCGGAGAAGGCTCCGGAACTTTTGTGAAGCAACAAAGAGAGATGGGAAAAATCATATTAAGATCATGCTCTCCACTAAAAAACACATTTTCACCCCAAGCCAAGGATAGGGAAAAAAGACCACTTGGTTGATGGACCCAAGGACGTTACTACCCCTTCCAGGAGCTGGCAAAGCGACTCCAGCACAGCGGTCAATTAGCAGACGTGAGGTTGGCAGCGAAGGAGGGTCACCTGGAAGGAAGGCAAGTCTTTCCCTCGGAGGACAGCAGACCACCAGCAACTGCGTGTCTGGTCCTGAAATCTCAATTGGAACACTGCTCAGTTCTGGGGTGTGTGGGGGTACTTCATGAAAGGTAACTTGGGGTACAAATGAGTATGAGAGTTGGTTCATTCTGTCCTACACTCCCCCCCACCCCCCATGAGGGGACTGTAACGCAAAGAAAGGACTGGTATGTTCTACAGTCCTCTCTCAAGACCACAAAACGCAGTATTTCATGGCGCCCCAGTCTTAACGGCACAGGTCAGGAGATTGGATTCAGGGTCCTGTTCTCTAAGTTAGACTCTAGAGTCACTCCTCTCTGCTAACCAGTTGTCTGTCTCTGTTGGGAGCACAGAGAGTTGAGGTTGTCCACGTTTCTCCTTAGCTCATCAAACTCCTTCCAGCAGCCAGGGGGGTTAGGCACGCACACGAGACTCTCCGGGCTTGTTACCTCCAAAGGGGAGGCTCTCACAGCCGAAAAAGTACTTTTGTGACCACAGAAGCCCGGAGGAAGCCCTGCCAGACTCCCCTCTCTGCTCGCTCAGAAACAGGGAAACATGGCTTTGAATTCGACCAGAGAAAGGAGGAACTTCCCCATGTAGCCTGCTGCAGAATTGTCTTTCCTGGATAATTTACAAGATAAGAATAACTAGAGTCTCAGAGGTTTCCCCCGAAACACTGGAGAGGCGGGGGAATGGAAAGAATGGCCTCTTCAATCCTTTTTCCAAAAACGAGCAAAACGCTGCATCCCGGCATAATGGTGTGACAGCCCTGGGAGGGCGACCCGGGCAGGCCACGTGTGATCCCAGTTTGCTTCAGGCCTGTTGTAACATTTTGATCACTGGTCTTTGCTTCCTCAAAGCCCCTGCTTTGCCATTCCCCAGAGGAAAACTCCCGGTTTTCAGTAGTAATTAGGTCCCTGTCGTCAGCATGTGGGATGGAGAGGTTGTGCCCAGTTTCCTTCTCCTTCCCCCTGAATGTGTGGGAGACTCACACAGACCACAGAGAGTCTTGAATGTCTTTGGAGGCTTCTAGTGTCAGTTGGGAAGGCTCTGGAAGTTTTTAAATTATATTATTATTTTTAAAAATAGAATGAAATACCCCTGAAGAGAGCCCTTTTGAAGTTCCTGTGGAGAGAGAAGGACTTTATCCTGCCTCATTTCAACAACAACAACAACAACAACAACAACAACAACAACAACAACAGCAACAACAACAGCAACAACCACCTCTGGCTGGCTCACTGCTGGGTTGAGCCTGCACTGCTGCCCGCTCCCTCCCTCCAACCCACCTGGATTCATACTTTCCCAGCCTGGGTGGCGCCTGCCACTTGCAGTGTGACCTCAAGGTGTCAGGCTTGCCTTAGCTATGCTTAAGCCTTGTGTCCTGGCCTCTGGGACTGAGAAACCGGTGTGTGGTACAAGCCCTTAGGAGAAAGGCAGATGAAAACAGTACAACAAAACAAACGCCAGCCAACCAACCAACCAGTGCAAATCCCAGAGGGATATCTGCCAATTCTGGATTTCCTACATCACCACGTTCTTTCCCAAAATATATAATGACAGCAGGAGCTGGCAGACTACGGCCAGTTAAATCTTGCATGCTGCCTGTTTTTGTATAGTCCACAAGCTAAGAATGTTGTTTACATTTTTTAAATGATTGAAAAAAAAAAAAGAGAAAAAATTGTAACATTTCCTGATGCTTGGAAATGGTATGTAATTAAAATTCCAGTGTTCGTAAATACAATAAAGTTTTATTGGAATGCAGCCATAGCCATTCATTTACACATTGGCTGTTCTTGTGCTATAAGGGCAGGGTTGAGTGAGCCCAAAATACATTTACTATCTAGCCCTTTGCAGAAAAAGTTTGCCGGCTCCCGAATTACAGTAATGCAGCATTCATTTGGAGTCTTCAAATTTCCAATGTGGGATAATTTAGACTCAGTATATGTGATTCTTATAAAAATAGAAGCTCAACAATTTCTTGCTCTGAATATGAAGGGAAAATTATATAAAAATGAAAATATCGATGTTTGTCTTTTAGTCTGTATCTAGCAATTATTTATTATTTAATTAATCCTTAAATAATTAAAGGACTTTTATGTTTCTAATGTCTTATATTATAGGTCTATAGTTATTTTTGAGTTTTTTTTTTTTTTAATCCTCACCCGAGAACATTTTTCTATTTTTTGCTCAGATAGAGTGGAAGGGAGAGAGGGGAAGAGAGAGAGAGAGAGAAAGAGAGAAACATCGACGCGAAAGGGACGCATCTAGTGGCTGCCACCCGCACGACCAACCAGGGCCGGGGACAAACTGCAACCGAGGTACGTGCCCTTAGCGGGAACCGAATCCGGGTCTCTCTGCACCGCAGGCCGATGCTCCAACCACTGAGCCAAACCGGCCAGGGCTATTTTTGAGTTTTTAATGAACTATTAGTAGCTGGCATATTTTACTTTATAACTAGAGTTTTATGGAATGTATGTCGTACATTGATAGTGTCTACTAAGCTCTGGGATTCTCTAGAATCTCCTTCCTTTTGGAAGAGACATTAGTGTCATCTAATCTACTTCCACTTGTATTCACAGAAGCACAGAAATGCAGAGGTTTAGTGACTTGCACAAAGATACATAATTAGTGGCATTTTTTTTCTTAAAATACTGTGGTACTCCCTGCCTGAAGATAAAGAAACTTTATCGCTTTTAAATTTCATTTGCAATTCATACCTTCTCATTAAAATTAAATGCTTACTCTGGGCCAGGCATTGTTCTAAAGGCTCATTTCAATTTAATCTTCACTTAATTTTTAGTAATAATAGTTTCCATCTTTTGAGTGCTTGCTGTGGGTTAGGAACTGTGCTGAGCAGCCCACAAACATTATTTCACTTTACCATCATGACAATCCTTTGGAAAAGGCAGCCAGGAGATAAAGAAAGAGGTTTAGAGGGGTTATGTAACTTGCTTAGGGTCACTCAGTTAATAAGTAATGGAAACAGTGTTCTTAACCAAGGTCACATTCATAAGCTACCAATTAAATTTAATATTTTTCTGGTGATGACGCTGTATGCTGAATTAGTGTTCCTTTGTTTAGAACCGGGGATTAAATTATGGCATTACAGAGCTGGAAGGGAGTCTGGGACTTCATCTTTAAAAAGTTCAAAGAAGGGAGTGAAGAACTTTTCTCAAAAGCCTGTTATAGCACTTAAATACAGAGTTCTTTCTAAGCAAAATAATACCCTTTACCACAATTCGTGTTTATTTTCTTATTTAAAATATTTTCTTCTTTATTGAATTTATAGACAGAGGAAGGGAGAGGAGAGAGAGAGATAGAAACATCGATGAGAAAGAATATCGAGTGGCTGCCTCCTGCATGCCCCCCACTGGAGATCAGGCCCACAGCCTGTGCAGGTGCCCTGACTGGAAATCGAATCCGCGACCACTTGGTGCATAGGTCGATGCTCAACCACTGAGCCACACCTGCTGGGCCATGTTTATTTTCTTTAACTTTGGCTATTGTGTAATTGCCATGATTCCACATTACCGTAACGGAGAGAGAGTTGCCCGGTCCTTATATATCATGCTACTGAGCACACGTCCCTTTGGAACCTTTGTAACTTCACTTAGTATATAGAAAACCATTAATTCATATTCTGGAGGCTACTTTAAATTTTTCTAATTCCTGTAAAGGGCTAGCCACTCTGAAGATTTTCCTGCCTTCATCGGGCCATTCTGCTGCCTACACACACTCTCAGTGGGTGTGTTCCAATCCTGTTATCTAGATCACTGGAAACCAGATCTATACAAACTGTAGCGTGATACTCATATTAACTTGCTTGCTGACCATGCTTGAATTGGTTTTATTATACCAAGAAGCAAACAAACGTTTTGTTCCTATCATTTGGATTTTCAGTGGCTAAATGCTACAAATTGGGCTCATTGGGGGGCACCCAAAATATAAAGTTTCCTGAGGTTCAACGTGGAATGCATCGTGATTACAACCTGTGATCCCTAAT